CACGTTATGTCTTTGCATTCCCTGTTGGTTTTACCAGTCTCACATGCTCCACTGTCAACTATGATACTATTGGCAACCTATGCTACAACAATACTTCCTACGAGCCCTTAAATGCTCCTCAAAACCCTGGTTATTCCCACTTTCACGGAAAACGGATACCATAGCCATTTTCATAGTGGCTACTAGGGCCGAGTTGATCCTTACAACCACATTGGATATACACAAGCCGACCCACCATCTATCCTCCAACATACATGACCATGGCATTTAAAATTATGTCTCTCAACGTTCGAGGCCTCAATTCACCTTATAAAAGATCTTCTCTAGCGAAGGAGGCTTGCTCACTTCAAGTGGATATCATGTTCATCCAGGAAACGCATTTTGCACTATCCAAGATGCCCATCTTCAATATGAAGCACTTTCCTAGCCTATTCCTAGCATCTAATCCCAAAAAGAAGAATGGAGTCATGACGGCCATAAAAGACACGCTGAACTTCCACCAGAACTCGGATATACTAAAAGACACTAAATATCAAAAAACCCATCTCGGAAGCTCATTCATTCTTTTTTTTAAATGAACGACACACCAGATACTCCAATACACATTTTATGGGCTACATACAAAGCCTACATGAGAGGAGTTCTTCTAAAGCTAAGCTCTCAAAATTCCAGACAAAGGAGAAGCCAACCTGAAGAAGTCCTAGCTTCTGTTAAACTAAAATAAGACCAGAACAAACTTACTCCCTCCCCAAGAGAGTTGGCCTCCCTTCTAGCAGATCGAAACAAACGTCACTCTTTGCATTTACATACATATGACCTTAACCTATGAAAGTTAAAAGAAAAATATTACTCCATGGGAAATAAAGCATGATCCCTATTAGCTAAAACGGTGAAACATCAGTGCCTCAAAACAAAGATAAAATCAGTACATCACCCAGTTTCTAAATCCCCCATAACAAATCCTCAAGATATAGCAAATGCCTTTGCTGAGTTTTATCACTCCCTGTAAAACCTCAAAAACAAAACTCCACAATCGTCTACTGCCCTTATACAAAAAATTTTAAGCTCAGTTACACTTTCTATTCTTTCCCCCTCTCAACTCCAATCCATATCAGACCCATTTTCCAATACAGAAATTGAATCGTCATTCAAAACCCTCCCACTGAATAAATCCCCAGGGGGAGACATATGCACTAATTAATATTATAAGTACTTTGCTCCTATCTTATCCCCTTACCTAACCAATCTCTATAACTATGCCACATCCTCTGGCTCACTCCCCAAAGAGATGCTACAATCTATCATCACAACGATTCCTAAACCAAGCAAAGACCCTCAATATGTACAAAACTACAGACCTATATCTCTTATAAATAGAGATGTAAAATTATTTGCTAAAATAATAGCCCATAGACTGCTCCCATTCCTTCCTGCTTTGACCAGGTAGGATTTATACCAGGCCAACAAGCCATGGATGCCACTAGGAGATTGTTCTCACTACTCCATAACTTAGAATCGCACAAGTCACCTTCTCTGCTTCTCTCTCTGGATGCAGAGAAGGCTTTTGACCGCATACACTGGGGTTTTATGGAGGCAGTACTGCAAAACAATTTGGCATTATAGGCAGGTTCCAAACAGCTATTACTGTATGTAGGTTGGAAAACAGCCAATGGATAATAACATACATGGATATACCAGGCATAAAGCATGTCTGGTCTGAATCTATGAGAGGTATGATCACTTTGCTTAGTCTGGTAGTCAAAAGTTTAGTGAGTATGGGGGCACATGCAAGGCCGGCCAGCGGATGACAGCTCACTGAGCGGAGCTCCATCCGCCCGCCAGTGAACACAGTGGCACACAGCGAGCCCGAACCCAGCAACGATAGCAGGGAAACAGCTAAGGGTCACAGAACCCTCGATAGACATGACCCGATGGCGGAAAACACCGGGGCAGCCGAGGAAACTCACTAATTTCTTTCCAGCCCTCGGCTCCTGCGGACAAGATGGCGCCAGCTGCGTGACAGGCAGCCTCTCCTCTTATGAAGAAGATACACAGAGAGACACAGCATACTACCCGGACTCCAGGCTGAAGGCACCACTGTACCCAGGGGAACCGGGTGAGTCCTCTTCTCTCCTGTCTCCTACAACTAGCAGCCCAGCCAAATCCAGACCGAGACTGGACACTGATGTCCCCCATGACAGACAACCATCAGCATCACTCTCAATTCCTGACAACTCTCCATCTTTGTTTGATTCATATCCTGCCTCAGGCCAATCGCTCACAGAAATTGCAATGAAGAACATGCTCTTAGCTTTGTGACAAACGTTACATAACGACTTGACAGTGACGCTATCCCAAATCTCCTTTACCGTACAAAAACAAGAAAAGCGTATCCACCATATTGAAGACAAATTAGGAGAAATGTGCGCCGAGCATAATGACCTCATAGACGCAAACGCAGATCATACAACAGAGATTGATCAAATAAACCTCAAATTAGCAGATAGGGAAGACTGCTCCAGGAGAAACAACATAAAATTACGTGGTATTCCCGAGTCCATTACAGCGGACACCATAGTCCCATTCATCCAACAACTCATGAAGCATATCGTTCCTACACTCACTGATGTGGAACTAGCCATAGACCGGGCGCACCACCACATTCCTAAACCATCATTTCTTTCCGACCGCAATACCCAGGGACACATTGGCGCACATACACTTCTATTATGTGAAAGAGAAGATAATGATAGCTGCCAGAAACCCCAACTCAATACCATCAACACATGCAAATATCAAATTATTTGCCGACCTATCCAAAACAACACTTCTCAATCCTAAGAAACTCGTCACCATAACGAAAGCTTTACGGAACCACGGAATAGGATACCAATGGGGTTTCCCTACGAAATTAACCGTTAACATCAAGGCAGAATCTACACAATCAAATCCTTAGAAACAGGTATAGAACTCCTGAAGACGTGGAATATCATTCCGGAGGACTCTCATCAACCCGCTTCCAACCGTCCTCAGCAAATGGACGCAGAATAGTCAAAATTCCAAACCAACCTGCACTACTCAACACACCGCAAAACGGGTATTGCTCCATGACCAAATATAACTGGCAAACGGCCCAGTATGGACTTTCTCACACTTCAAAATTCCTTCCAGCATGATTCCTATAGTAAACCATGCTTTCTCAAGCCTTCATGTTATGAAGTAGCATATGATGCTACCCATCTCACTTGTATTTTTTGCAAGTTCTTTTTATTCCTCCTCCTCACCCACGGTACCAGTCAACCCGAATGAATCTACCTTCCCCACAGTTCTCCAATACAAGATGAAAACCTTCTTCCACAGAAACAATCGACGCGAGCTCATAACAGCTCCTCACTGGATGAGCACCACCCACGCCATGAAATACCTCATTCTTCTCCACTTTTATGGAAAAAACACCAATACCTTAGACAAACCATCAACATAAGGAAAAATGATCAATATATCTTCGCCTCAACTCACCTTATAAGAGATCCTTACTTTCGAAAGAAGCTCAATTTTTACAAGCAGATGTATTACTCCTACAGGAGACCCACTTCGCCTCTACTAAAATCCCCAAGTTCAAGATCCACCACTACACATCAACCTACATGTCAACAAATCCCAGGAAAAAAAATGGGACTATCACAGCCATTAAAGACTCCCTCCAATACCAATTCATCTCCGAAATAGTGGACCCACAAGGTCGCTACCACATTTGATCTGTAAAATCACGGACATTCCATATACTTTAGTTAATGTCTACGGCCCAAATACTAACCATCTTTAATTTTTCAACAAACTCAACATGACCATCTCTCAACATAGAAAAGGCAGACTAATTGTTGGCGAAGATTTCAACATCATCGGTAACCCGTTCCTAGACTCCTCCTCCAATAGATGTGCCCCTAAACAGACCTTTAACCGCTTTCTAGATGCTAACGATTTATATGATGCCTGGCGATGCCAACACAGCACGGAAAGAGACTATACCTACTATTCTCCATCTCATCTATCCTACTCTCGCATAGACTTCTTCATCACCGACAAATGGACTTTGCAACATATCACTTCCGCCAAGATTGGCACCATCACATGGTCTTACCTTGCCCCGATTACTATCTCTCTTGACCACAATCAATACCCACAGATCCCGCGGCTATGGCGACTGAACTCATCCCTACTGAAAAACCCAGACCTCAAGAAACGCATATTTGATGCGCATTGCACATTTTTTGAACTCAATGACACAGATGATATATCTATCTCCACATTGTGGGCTACTTACAAGGCATACATGAGAGGTATTCTCATACAACTTAATTCCCACATCACGAAACAAAGAAACCAACAAATAGATAATGTCAGGAATGGACTTGCCAATAGTGGTGGGACTCACCTGCCTTGTGGGCTGCAGTACCAGGGCTGGCCAGCGGGTGCTCTCAACAACCAGAGGTTCACTTCGGCAATTAGCCATCACCTGGGGCTGATTTCAGGTGTATTTAACCACTTGCCTACCAGGCACTTATACCCCCTTATTTACCAGGCCAATTTTCAGCTTTCAGCGCTGCCGCACTTTGATTGACAATTGCGCGGTCATGCAACATTGTACCCATATGAAATTTTGATCATTTTTTTCTCACAAATAGAGATTTTCTTTTGGTGGTATTTAATCGCCGCTGGGCGCTTTACTTTTTGTGCTATAAATAAAAAAAGTGCAAAAAATTTGAAAAAAAAAAAAGTTTCTTTGTTTCTATTATAAAATTTTTCAAACAGGTATTTTTTCTCCTTCACTGATGTACGTTGATGAGGCAGCACTGATGGGCACTGATAGGCGGCACTGATGGGCACTGATAGGCAGCACTAAAGGGCACTGATAGGCAGTACTAATGAGGTGGCACGGATAGGCGGCACTGATAGACAGCACTAATGAGGTGTCACGGATAGGCGGCACTAATATGCAGCACTGATAGGCGGCACTGATAGGTGACACTGATGATGGGTACTGATAGACGGCACTGACTGGCATCACTGCTGGGCACTGACTGGCGGGCACTGACTGGCACAACCCCTGGGCACTGACTGGTGGCACTGACTGACAGCACTGCTGGGCTGCACTGGTGGGTGGGCACAGGTGGGTGGCACTGGTGGGCACAGGTGGGTGGGCACAGGTGGGTGGCACTGCTGGGCACAGGTAGGTGGCACTTCTGGGCACAGGTGTGTGACACTGCAGAGTGGCACAGGTGGGTGCACTGCTGGGTACAGGTGGGTGATCTGCTGGGCACAGGTGGGCGGAGCTAGTGGGCACACTGCAGGGCACAGGTGGGCGGAACTTGCGGGTGGCACTGCTGGGCACCGATCATCAGGGCACTGATCATCAGTGCCCTGATGATCGGTGCCGATCCCCGCTCTGACAACTGCCGGTTCTCGGCAGTACTTTCCTCACGATATGACATCGTGAGGAAAGTGCAGCCGAGAACCGGCACTTGCATTTCCCTCTGATCAGCGTGTCATTGGACACCGCTGATCACGTGGTAAAAGGCCGCTGTGATCGGCCTTTTACCACATCACGTGATCAGCTGTGTCCGTAGGACACAGCGATCACGGAGATCGCCGGTGCGCGCCCCCTGGGGGAGAGCGCGTTCTGGGAGGCCGTCATATGACGTCCACTCAGAACTGGCCGGCCGCAGTGCAGCCGTCATTCGGCTATCTGCAGTCGCCAACTAGTTAAGGGATGGCCAGACCTGCAGTCTGTGCCTTGGTGTGTGTTTTTCCATGGGCCCCTGTATCTTGTAACCTGCATTCCTGTTCCTGTTTCTGCCTGACTTGTTGCCGACCCTGCCTGATCCTGACCTCTGCTGACTTCTCCTGTTTTGATCCCTGGCTTGTGACCCTGACCATTCTCTCCGCCTGCTCCTCCTGTACCTACCTGCCCGATAGTTATCGACCCGGCCTGCCTAACTACGTTGTGCTCTACGTGTGTATGTACCTGGGTATCTGTATCAGTTTAGGTTTGGGTTTGTTTCACCTTGTTGTATGTATTTGTGTTAGCTTGGGGTTTGGTGCACTGCGTTTATGTTTGTATTGTTAGTCTTTAATAAAGCGTCTTATTTATACCATATCTGAAGCTTGCATTTCCCTGTGTCAGTCCACACACTTCTGGTCACACCTGCATCTCTGACAGATAAACTCCTCTCCTCCATTAAATCAAAAGAATAAATCAACAAAGCATCCCCAGATCCATTAATCTCTTCCTCTCTCAATATAGAGAGAAACAAACTACAATCCCTTTTATTATATAAATACGATCTTAATCTCCAAAAGATGAAATCAAGATATTACTCACTAGGTAACAAAGCCAATTCAGTAATATCCAAAATAATTAAACAAAAACAACTAAAATCTAAAATTACATCAACACCCAACTACCCAAACCCTATATACCAATCCACAAGACATAGCTAATGCATTCGCAAAATACTATCAGAATCTATACAACCTTAAAAATGACCCCAACACCACTCAACCTACATCTACATCCATACAAACAAACATTCTTACATACAACAAACCTCCCCCAACTTTCGCCATCACAATTTACTGACATCTCAATCCCAATTTCTTCCAAAAAGAGATAGAAGTGACTATCAAAACATTACCATTACACAAATCTCCGGGAAATGATGGATATACAAACGAGTACTACAAGCTATTTGCCCCAGAATTTTCACCATACTTAACCAGACTTTTTAATAACGCAGCTGAAAATGGCACATTTTCTAGAGACATGCTACAATCTATTATCACAACTATACAAAAACCCGGAAAAGACCCACAACTTGTCCAAAACTATAGGCCGATATCATTACTTAGTACCGATATAAAACTCTACGCAAAAATCATTGCACGCAGACTTCTCCCTTATCTCCCAACCCTAATCCATCCGGATCAAGTAGGTTTCATTCCGGGCCGCCAAGCACCAGATGCTACAAGAAGAATAATATCACTCCTCTACAATCTACAGCTTTACAAATACCCCTCTTTACTCCTATCCCTAGATGCAGAAAAAGCATTTGACCGCATACACTGGAAATGTAGTGTTCAAAGTGTGGCCAGGTCAGAGAGAGTAAAGTCAGACAGTAGAGAGGAAGTATAAAGGGTGGTGTAATAATGTGTGAATTCATCCAAAATTGCTTCCTGTGAAGTCATCACCATGCCATCCACTATACAAATTACTGTATAGGAATCATAGTTAAAAGGTCTGTCATGCTGTGCCAACCTTGCCAATAGTCTACTGTTTTTGTCCCCATATTCAAAATAGTCCTGCTTGTGAGCATATATATCTAGCCTAGTGATTTTAGACATACAGTATGTAAATGCCAATCTCAGCAAGCAGAGGAGAGGGAATCACAATTTCCAGTAGTAAGCGAAGAGGAGTATTAAGTATTAGCATCCATCACTTTAGGCTGAAACTCTGAGATGAGGATGGATTGTTCAGACTTGATTGCAAAGATAACAGAGATTTATAAATCTCTACTATTAGCCTCAAAGGCATCCCAGCCCACAGTTGGAGAAACTGACCCAGCATTGGTTCCCCAATAGTCCTGGATTGGACTGTGTGGATTCATTTAGGCTGTAGCCACCAAAGAGATCTGTTACAAGGCCGTTGTACCCCTATTTCCATTTAAGAGGAATGTGGTCAAACAGGGATGTAATAAGCATCCTGTATATCACTTTGAACTTCAGGGTTTGTGAATGCTAGTTCAAAGTGAGAGGAAAGTTTAAAAGTCATAGAAAAACATGAGTAGGCTCTGTCATGGGGATGGAGCCACCGTTATACCTCAGTCACAGTGGCTGCTTCTGCCCAGGTAACCAGATCAGAGTTGAAATTAAAAGGATGGACTGGCCTATCTAGGGCTTGTGATATAATGGCATCAAAGTCTCCATAAACAGTATTTTTGCTGGGCAATGCGGAGTCAGCGTCTCCAATAGTAAAATTAAAGGAGCCATATGACTGGGCAGTGGCAAGTAGGTATTGACAATGATATATTTCTGAGTCAAAGGGAGTACCCACCAGCATCATATACTTCTGGTTAGAATATAGGGCAACCTCTTCAACAATACTTTTCAAAATGGACACCCCACAGGAGTAAGTAGAGTGTGTGGCGTGGATCACCTTCTGTACCCATGTTTTTGTAAAGCTATAATTTTGCTGCCCAAGAAGTAAGTTTCTTGCAATAAAGCTATGTGTGGGTTGTGTAATTTGAAATATTGAAATAATAGAGAGTTTGTATTTAGAGTTGAGTCCCCTGACATTCCAGAAAAGAATGGAGAGGCAATCTTTATTGATAGAGGCCATAGCACTGTGTTACGGTGGGTGTAGCCACCCAAGTACCAGGAGATATATTGAGAAGGTCCCTATGAGCAGAAAAACTTGCTCAAACCATAGCAGTGATAAAAAAAAGTATATCTAACAAACAATAGAAACAGTCTTCAAAAAAACAACTTCCTACCCTTGCACCACAAAAAACAAATACAAAAAGGAGCTGGTGCAGGATTTTTATCCGAAACATACAAACAGGTAGCAACCTCTAATTGTTCATCGAAAAGTCAGCCTGGGAGGGTTCCTGGAAAGGACAAAAAGGAAAAAAAATAAAGTAATAAAAAATAAAAAATGGGGGGGGGGGGGGGGGGGGGGGTAGAGAGGGAGGTGGAAAAAAAATCAAACATTTGCATAGCAGTTGAGGGATTCCACTCCTATAACCATTTTAGGGGCCTGACAGGATAACATGAGGGTATTTCAAGACACATGCCCCAATCATCAGTAGGAAAGTCTGCAAGAGTCAGCCACATAGAATCACAAGAGTATATCCAACAAAGTACCAATGGCAGATGCATGTTGGATGACAGAAGGGGGAACCAAACAACACAAAAAAATGTAGGGAAGGGGAATGAAAAAGGTGGGGGGGATGGAAGGGAGTACTCACAAGACCATCATAGAACAGAAACCCTAGCGATTCTCCAGCCAGGTATCCACCGCGGCAGGTGTATCAAAGTAGTGGGTTGTGCTGTCATCCAGGATGCGGAGCCTGCTGTACTGGAAGCTAAACTTCAGCCTGCACTAATTATTTTGAATGAATATTACGCTACTCACTAATTCTTCACATATTGTTAGTGATATATGGTTTATAGCATTTTTGATACACTTTATTGCAGCATTGTTATTATTGTGTTTTAACTTTATTTTAAAGCGGTACACTTTGTTTTATTATTGCTGATTGGACTAGTATCAAAATTCTTAGTGTTAGCTGCTCTGTTTTTTGTTTACACCTGATATTAAAAACATATTGTCTTCCAACATATGGCACACCATCACCATTCTTCAGTGACAACATTCATGGAGCAGTCCAGAAATTTCTGACATTAATACATGTTTTGCTTCCCAACATTTCACACCAATCTAAGTTCAATTTTTCAGTAAATAATCAAAAAGAGATACTACTAGACTAATCATTGAGCCAAAGAGTGGCTGAGACTGTGTGCCTGTCTGCTAGCGAATTTATTATGGAAATAATCTTGGGACCATTCATTGGGCCTTTTAGGGGGTTTATGCTACAATATAATTAATCCACATTTCACACAGTTGTTTTTCTTGCAAAATAAAGGGCCAGTGGTTCTTCTAATAGATTTTTATTCCCATTTGAAAATTTATTGCACTTCAGTCAGACAGAATGAGCAGTAATACATGGGCAATTTTTGTTCTTTTTACTGTATTTTTGTGATGCTAGGGTTACAATTCCCTTTGCAGACAGAACACAGTAGATTTGGATCTGGATTTGGAGTGGTCTGCATGTCCAGTGGTCTGCGTGTCAAGGAGTCCAACACACTCCATGCACAGTACTAAAGCCAAAAGCAATGGTGCATCCTGAGAATCGATGTTGTTTGGAGCACTGTGCAGTGGGGTTGTCGAACCACTGGAGACCCAAAACACTATACTCTGTGTTGCACAGAGGTCTGGTTTTCTGGCTTGCTGCTACCAGTGAGCATTTTAACCCTAGATGTAGCAAAATGTAAAGTAAATGTGGACCTTCGTTTTCTAAATAACTGACAGTTTTAGGACCACTCTCATCTCTGTGACCTTTCCCCCCTCCCTATTCCATAGCTCTCTCCCTGCCTTACCTCACTATCTATCCAAGTTTAATTACCATTGCTGTGTGTGTGTTTTTCCTCAGAGATTGTTCTATGAACATTCTGTTAGTTTATTAGTACTGCTTGGACATTGAAGAAGGGGGTACACCCTGTAAGCTTGTCCTGGAAATTTGAATGTT